CATTGGTTCTGTGCCAGACTAGCAGTAACAGGTTACATTCAACTGTAAATAAAGATTATTATATAAAGAAATATACTTAAGAGCACCACAGTATAAACCTAAAGTGGTACAGTGGTATCAAGTAGGTGTTACAAGGGTAGCAGGTGTTACAGGATGATACAGGTAGCCAAGTAGTGGCATGATATAAATAGCCTTGTAGTAGGATGATACAGGTAATACAGCAGTACAAGTTATAGGATGATATCGGTAACCAGGTAGTAGGATGATACAGGTAACCAGGTAGTGGGATGATACAGGTAGCCAGGTAGTGGCATGATACAGGTAACCAAGTAGTGGCATGATACAAGTAGTAGGATGACACAAGTAGCGTTAGAGGTAGTTGGAAGAAGCAGCAGGTACGAGGCAAGTAATAACACATAAGTGTTAAGATAATATGAAGATACAGAGGAAGGAAAGTGGAAGAAGGAAGGTACATGTTGGAGATAAGACGCCCAACACCTCCTCCATGATTGCACATAAGTAACGAACGTTGAAGCGCTGGTTCAGAGGATTGTTTACATTTATTCCTTGTATCCCACGTGAGGGCCAATACCTGCAACCGATAAAATATGCAATATTTCCCAGCGAGTGAAGCAGGGAGAGGGGCGAGCTCGGAGGTTTAGTGGGTGTTTCGGTGTGTCTGATCATCTTGCGCTGCCATACCTTTCAGTTACCTTGCGTTGGTTCCTTGTCTCAAAGTCCCCATGACCACTCTCTGGCCAGGGCACCTAGTTGGTGGTCTGGTCAACCAGGCTGTTAGATGCAGCCGCTACCAAACTGACGTATGAATCACAGCCCGGTTGATCGGAGATCCTTTGCAGGTGTTTATCAACTTCTCTTTAAACACCATGCGAGGTCGGTTAGTTATGCCCCTTATGGTCAGATTGTTAAAGTCTTGGTCCCTTGAAGTTGAATTCTCCTCTACTTCTGGAATGAGGCTTTGAGAACGAGAACAGCGCCTCTACTTTTCAATGAGACCTTTTTGCATTTTCTTACATTTCTCGTGTAGCGATATTTCCGCGTGAATATATATTATATATATATATATATATATATATATATATATATATATATATATATATATATATATATATATATATATATATTCACAGCATCAAGTTTTTAAAATTCAATATTGAAACTGGAAAAGATAAAGCCATCCTTTTCAGATACAGAATTTATTGAAGGACGTGAGTGGGTTTCAAAGCTCTGAACATACAAAAAAAAAATTGACAGGTATCGAGCTTAATATTTCCAGATAATATTATTGTAGTGCATGAAAGAAAACATTAGTCAATATAGTTCACTAGTTGTGTCTGAGTTGTTCTGCTTCAATACTGAAACACACTAAACTTCCCAAACATTTGTCAGCAGCGATACTTTCTACAGAAAAATATAGTTAAGAACTATGGCAGGAAGAAATAAAAAGAAATATGTCACAATGTCACGCAGAATAACTATCTGTCAGGCAGAATAACTATCAGTCACGAAGAAGAACTATCTGTTAGGTAGAATAACTATCTGTCAGGCAGAATAACTATCTGTCAGGCAGAATAACTATCTGTCAGGCAGAATAACTATCTGTCAGGCAGAATAACTATCTGTCACGCAGAAGAACTATCTGTCACACGGAATAACTATCTGTCACGTAGAAGAACTATCTGTCACGTAGAAGAACTATCTGTCACGTAGAAGAACTATCTGTCACGCAGAATAACTATCTGTCACGCAGAATAACTATCTGTCACGCAGAAGAACTATCTGTCACGCAGAAGAACTATCTGTCAGGCATAAAATCCATTTTGTATTCCCAAGTTACACTTCAAGACACTCAGACCTCGTGACAATTACATTTGAACTCCATCTTTGATTAGTGTCAGGGAATGATCCGATCCCAAGTTAACACTAAGATCAAAGACAGTTCTCAAATGCTTGTGTTCTAATATAGAATATTTTGTAATTGTTAAAGTGCCTTACTGAACCTAAATAAACGAGCAAACGAGGGAACGATCGTATGCTTATCGTTAAGTGTTACGCATCGTTAAGTGCCTGACTCTAATTGAAGATTAATCCTCCAAAATTATAGAAACTTCAAGACACCCTTTACACAGATTAAACAAAAAGTACTTCAGGCTGACTCTTAAATCTGAGAAAAAAATCCTTTGATTTGCGACTGCTTTTCTCTTGTGTTAAATCGTCACTTTCTTTTGTACGATATTATATACTTAGACCTCTAGTAAACTTTGCAATTGTGTCTTATCTATTGTTGTGTCCACATTGCTCTCAAGGTAATAATACAAGACCACTGTGTACAAGACCCATGTTCACCACTAGGGTACAATGTTGGGTACAGTGTTGGGTACAGTGTTGGGTAGTGTGTACAGTGTTGGGTAGTGCGTACAGTGTATACAGTGTTGGGTACAGTGTATACAGTGTTGGGAACAGTGTATACAGTGTTGGGTACAGTGTATACAGTGTATACTGTATACACTGCCACTTGGCATGTTTTCCGCCACCAACTCTTCTACGGTTCCGCGAAGCAATCTAAAGACCAATTAAAGGTTAATATTTATATAAAATTATTGCTATATAGATATCCATAATTAATGCACGGATATTTTACTTTTAAGGGAAATAATAAAATAGTCATATGTGTGTTACCTCTGTACCTTGTTATCATCGATTCATCAGACAACACCATCACGGATTATGTGCTTGAAGGCTCAGTTTTCCGGCAGAATTAATCACCATCAACACGAGATTTAATTAGGTAAATGTGCGTGTGTAATCACATATCCTGGTGAGCAACTTGTGCAAGGACTTGGGGGGGGGGGCGCAGGTCCCTGGCTGCCAGGAACTGCCACAGGGAGCTCGAGGTCCTCCACTTGAGACCAATAGTTAGACAATCAGTGAGCCAGCGACTCTCTCACCTGTGAAGGGACTCAGCCACCAGCGCCCGGCAGTCTTAAGGGGGCATTTCCCGCATGGCCAAAAAGTTCTTCAATTTCAACCAATATTTTTTGACTAGTTGTATATGAAACGGGCTGCAATTGTACCAAGTTTCAGTACTGCAGCGTAAATAGAAAGGGAGATTTTTTTGTTTTTTTGTTTTTTTCAACGAATTTTACACATTTTCAAGTGTGAGTAAAAAATCACACCTTTCAGATATAATCATTCTATGACACTTTTCTGACACATTAGCATATAATAAAGCTGTGTTACAAAGTCTTCAACTTTCCAGTCGGGTTCCAGACTTGCCATGTGTTTTACCCGAATTTTAATATTTTCCATCACGTATCTCAGTATTTATCTACACGTAGATATAATATTTCTTGTTAGACCATTTTTATCTTTTAACGTTTTTTAGACAACCTTCCGATCAGCGGCAACTTTTATATAATGTTTATGTTATAGGGTCAGAGCCCGCGTCTCCAGAACACCATGCTTCCCTTAACAGATCACTCGTCCCTAGATCACAGTACACGTCCCTAGATAACAACACACGTCTATAAATAACAACACACGTCCCTAGATCATAGGAGGAACTTTAAAGTCACTGGGAAGGGGTCAGGATTTGTGATTGGACGGGGAAAGGAATGGGGCCCAACCACTTGGGCTGGACGGTAGAGTGACGGTCTCGTTTCATGCAAGTCGGCGTTCAATCCCAACCGTCCAAGTGGTTGGGCATCATTCCTCCACCCCCCCCCCCCCCACAACCCATCCCAGTGCCATATGGTTGTAATGGATTAGCGCTTTCTCCTGATACTTCCCTTCCCTACGTATTACCGAGGCCCATAGGAGCTCTGAGTCATAATACCGAGGGCGACCCTAACTACTCTCTCATCAGCGAAGGTAAACTGGCATAAACTGAGAAACACAAACTTGAGAATATGGCTGATTGAAGATGACATCTTCATCATTGAATGACCTTAACAAGGTCATTCAACTGTCACTCGTATAATACTGCAGCGCCAGGTGTATACGTATGGTATTAACAGCAAGGGTGGTGGTTCAGGTACCGACCGGCAGACGTACGGCGGTGTTCATGGTCACTTGCGCTCCATGTTGGAGTGTGCTGGACCTCGCGCAGTGTGTACCAGGTACAGCGTCACCTTATAACCTGCGGGTCACTCCAAGAGAGCGCAAGACGCCTCAACACGGCATGGCCAGAAAATAGGCCCAGCTTGGGTCTTTGTACAATTGAAAATAGATAATTTATTTAAGTACCCTCACTTTAGGGAGCCGGTCGGCCGAGCGGACAGCACGCTGGACTTGTGATCCTGTGGTCCCGGGTTCGATCCCGGGCGCCGGCGAGAAACAATGGGCAGAGTTTCTTTCACCCTATGCCCCTGTTACCTAGCAGTAAAATAGGTACCTGGGTGTTAGTCAGCTGTCACGGGCTGCTTCCTGGGGGTGGAGGCCTGGTCGAGAACCGGGCCGCGGGGACACTAAAGCCCCGAAATCATCCCAAGATAACCTCAAGATAACCCTGGCCTGGTTAATCTAGCCTAACTGAAACTAAGTTAATTTAGCCTAACCATAATTAAGCTAACCAAAGATATCCATCCCACAACTAAGCTAATCTGATGGTGCCAATCACCCTCGGAAACAGTTCAACGATAGTTGAGTTTAATGTAATCATTTAGTTAAACAGTTGCACGTCGATGCTTGTTACACTGTAACAATAGCCACCTAAACTATGTTGATATCTTCATATCATTCACCATGAGAAAATATTCAGCATCACTCATTCTCGTGGCATCAACACACTCGTGTCATCAATACACTCGTGTCATCAATACACTCATCTCATCAACACACTTAGCGGCCACATATAGAATGAAGTAGCCAGCGAGCCATTAAGAGTAGTCAGTGTAAGTTGAGCGTCCATTAAGATCATCAAGAGTGCAACGGTTGCCACACAGCACCTGTATGGAGCGTACAAATACCTGGGAGGACGGGGCAGGCGACTCAGTGTCGGTCGGGAAGGTGGCGAGTGTGTGCCCGTCGCTGTTCCTGCCTGCCTCTCCTCCTTCCCCCCCAGGGGCACCAAACTCACGTGTCCTGCCCCTCGGTACCTTGGTAACCCCCCCGTGTGTCCTGGCACTCATGTCCACCAGTGGCTGAGACCCAGATGCAAGAGTGTTAGTAAAGGCGTCGACGCCTGGTTCACGGGACACAACCTGCGGTTTGACTGAATTAAGATTGGAGGGATAAATAATTACGGATATTGATTCCCCCGCCTCTTCTTTTCCCCCCCCTTCCCTACCCCCCTCTACCCCACTCCCCTCCCTATCAACGTCCGCCTCAATAGCAGTGAGGGGAACTACCAGAAGGTAAGTAACGGCAGTACTGCCCAGTTTGCTCTCACTCATGTCGTTATAGTTTTATAAACCGCATATTTTGGTGCTAGCTTGGTTGCCTTCATTCGTAAAGTTAGTGATTTTAATTGTTATGTTGATCTATTTTATACATCTTTATGGTACAATATATATAGTGTTTCCAGAGAGTTTAGACTGGCGGTGAACACAAGCCTGGACGCAACGCTCGCCTCTCCTCTCTATATATCAACTAGTAATTTAGTGCGCACACACACACACACACACACACACACACACACACACACACACACACACACACACACACACACACACACACACACACACACACTGGAAACTGAGTACCCAAATGAGCCACAGGGACGTTAGAAAGAACTTTTTCAGTGTCAGAGTAGTTAACAGGTGGAATGCATTAGGCAGTGATGTGGTTGAGGCTGACTCCATACACAGTTTCAAATGTAGATATGATAGAGCCCAGCAGGCTCAGGAATCTGTACACCAGTTGATTGATAGTCGAGAGGCGGGACCAAAGAGCCAAAGCTCAACCCCGCAAGCACAAATAGGTGAGTACACACAGGTTGGTCATAGGGTAGAGAGTGTGTCGTGACGCCCCATACACAGCGGCTGGCTTCCTTAACGTACACATCCGCGGGTCCTCTGCTGGCCTTGGACCACTCTCCTTCATCACTATGAACCTTCCACGCTTAGTGCAATCTTAGTCTTGGCGTTAGACACAACGCGCAAATGTTGATGCTTTTTTAAAATTAGAAGTAAATAAAATTGACGCTTCTTTGAACTAATGCGTATCGGCGTCCATACGCTAGGCTCGTTGGTTCCTGGTTAGGCAAAAGCACTTCAGATTTGACGGTTGTCGAAGCGTGAGAACGGTGTGAGGCTTTACGTGCCAAGTGTTGTGTTTGGACCTCAACTGGAACCCTCTCGGGGCAGAGCCAAGTGTGCTCGCCTCTACTCGCCGCTTCCACTTTTTTATTTAAAGGGAAAAAATCGACGCCATTGCATGAAATTAATAATACAATCATTTAATGCTACTTTTATAACGCATACATTATAATTATAATTCATACATATAATAAATACATAATGCTCTTATACTTCCCACTTGCATGGGGTGGCGTCATCCAGGAGAAAACAAATAAAGTAGCAAAAGAAGGTTATTGTGATTTTATATCAAAATATTAAAAGCATCTATCGCCCCATCATTATATGACCGTCAGTATATATGATGAGACCTCCACTGGTACAACACTTCCAGACCATCTTCAAGTGTTACTTTGTCTTCAGTGTGTGGAGTATGGCAGAGAACCATCCTGGCCACACTACCAATGTCTGCCCCTCACCTGCTCTGGCGGGGTCTTTGAGGTGGGCATATTGTGAGAATATTCCAACCTGTCCTCAGAGCGTATGTACCCTCTAGCTAATCACAAAACCACTACGTAATTAGTGCAATTATCTACTCCTTATCCATGGTTAAGTTTGGGTCAAAAACTATTTGAGTATCATCTAGAATTACATTTTTAAAGAAAACTTAGGCTTCCAACCATTTAAAAAAATTAATTAACCATGTTTTTTATTTTTTAAACCATCAGCTTATAATAAAATAAAGTTATAATTTGAGAATATTCTGGTTAGCACAAAGTTTCACCTGCCAGTTTACGAGTCGACTATTATTGGAACTATAATATCAACCTACCCTGGCTTTGCACCCTGGAGAGGCCAATTCAGATCTACAACCAGAGCGCACCTCCAGTCTCCTATGACTGACGGATGTCTACTACTACTACTACTAATATGCATTCAGACCATCATAAATATCTAAATAACTTTCAAGGTTGTGTAAGAGTAAGTTTGTTGTCTCGATCCTCTTGTTTAGATAGTACCTACTGTGACTGTCGTCAAAAGTCACGAATTCGTATGTACTTAGCTTTTAGACAGTAGTATACTGACTAGTAAGGAACTATTTTAAAATAAATTAAGTAAAAAAATAAACTTAAATATTCCAAGGTTGAGTATAGTACAAATATGTACTATATTAGGCCTCAAGTATCGTGTATTAGGCCTAGGAAGGTTAGGTTAGTTTAGTTTGTCAAAGCAACACAAGTAAAACATAGTTTTCCGGTTTGTCCAACTCAATAGTTCAGATTTCTACTTTCTAATTTCGTTGAACGTCGGTATATGTACTACGGTCCTCATCGTTACTATAGGTACTACCACAACAGGTGGATGGGCTGCGTTATTCACACCTTTATTTACACTCTCACTATCTCTCCATCCCTCTCCCTCCCTCAATCCTCTCTCTCTCTCTCTCTCTCTCTCTCTCTCTCTCTCTCTCTCTCTCTCTCTCTCTCTCTCTCTCTCTCTCTCTCTCTCTCTCTCTCTCTCTCTCTCTCTCTCTCTCTCTCTCTCTCTCTCTCTCTCTCTCTCTCTCTCTCTCTCTCTCTCTCTCTCTCTCTCTCTCTCTCTCTCTCTTTCTCTCTCTTTCTCTCTCTCTCCACTAATTTTACGCTGTATATAATTATCAACAGATGAATGTTTGTTGACTCTTGATATAGGTGATGAGAGCCATCCCAATTATGTTACTCTCATTAAATTGCAAATATATCAACAGAGTTTTCACAACAAAAATATTTGTTTAAATTTATTTTATTTTATTTTGTTTTAAAGATTCTTTATTTACGTTTTAAATATATTTATGAACTATTTTTTACTAGCAATTAACTGTTGGATGTTGTTGTTATTTTATTTTTATTTCTTACAATATTGTATTCCTTTTTTTCTCTCATTTCGTTTCTCTCGCTTTATCACTCTCTCACTCACTCACTCTCACTCTTGTTCATTCATTCACCCTCTCATTTGTAATGCAATCTATTACATATACTTGTGTTTTGTTGTGTTGGTGAAAAATTAAATCAGAGCGCTGAATAGAGGGAACTCATTTGTCAACACTTACATGAAATGAGTAAATTAATAAAGAAATAGTACATTAAGCAGGCGATGAGTCACAATAACGTGGCTAAAGTATGTTGACCAGACCACACACTAGAGGGTGAAGGGACGACGACGTTTCGGTCCGTCCTGGACCATTCTCAAGTTGAACTTGTATAAAGTGAAGACTTGAGCGAGCGGGAAGCGGGCATAGTTGAGGAGCAGCTGGAGCAGAGGAGTCGCTGTAGGACAAGAACAAATGCCCGGGCTTCACCCAGCTGCTGGGACTGATCAACGTGCAGAGGACAGTTTTGATAGAATTGCTTTCATCTTTGTCTTGCATTCTTCATTCTCGATTTTCAAACTGGTAAGACAATTGTGACTCCATGTGTTTTGTGATCTTACTTCTTAGCATTTTTTCAAAGATTTTTATGCGTGATGTTAGTGCTATCAGTCAATATTTTGTGTTGCGTTTGCTTTACTGCCTCCTTTTTTTGAGATATATACAAGAGTTGTTACATTCTTGTACAGCCACTAGTACACGTAGCGTTTCGGGCAGGTCCCTGGAATACGATCCCCGCCGTGAAGAATCGTTGTTACATCCAAGTACACATTTTACTGTTGAGTTAAACAGAGGCTACAGTTAAGGATTTGCGCCCAGTAAATCCTCCCCGGCCAGGATACGAACCCATGACAAAGCGCTCGCGGAACGCCAGGCGAATGTCTTACCACTACACCACGGAGACTCTTGGATTTGAGAGAATCTGCTCGGGTTTACTGACCATAGTAAACTCTCACATCTCTCGTCGTCTGGTAGTTCAGTCTCTAAACATAAGCAAATGTTTCATGAAACAGTTAAGGTTGGCACGGAGTAATCAGTATAAACTTGCAGTAAAACAAACGATGCCTCTTGAAAGGTTAGGTGGGGGGTGTGGGGGGTGGGGCAGGGGTGGCTTTTCTGGGTGTAGGACGGGCGGTGGGTGTAGTAGGACGGGGGATGGGAGGGGGGAGGGCAAACAGCAAACACACATACATGAGCAATGAAAATACTGAAGGTTTAATCTTGAGCATGAAGGACAGGAGCGAGCGCCCTTGCCCGCCGTCCCGGCCCCGCCCTCCTCTCCCCTCCACACAAACTGAAGATTGTATTGCAAATGTTTGTGCTATTGCCAGAGTCAACACCGCTGTGTGCTTCTGAAACACAGGCACGAAAAATGGGGACAGTAATTGCCGAAATTGTATGAAGGCTCGTGCGGAGTATATTCAGTGTTGAAACTGCATCCGGGTAATTTATTCCGGATAACGCAAGCCTCATTGTGATCATTACAGCTGGTGCTGCTCCTCTTACTGCTGTTATTATGGTTAATAATACAATGATAACTTGTGTTTACCAGGGTTATCGCAGTCTCTGTGGGTGAACTCTCATAAATATTCTTTACGAGCACAGCTTCAATTCCTGGGCACCGCCCTTTCAGTGGTGGATCGTTTAATCCCGCCCTCTCATTTATCTCCTGTCGCCTCTACTCTTGAAATTGTGAATGGAGTTCACCTTAACTATTTTTCCCTTTATTTACTGCAATTGTTTACCTCTCACGCTGAAGAAGTGAGTCCTCAGCCCTCTCACGCTGAAGAAGTGAGTCCTCAGCCCTCTCACGCTGAAGAAGTGAGTCCTCAGCCCTCTCACGCTGAAGAAGTGAGTCCTCAGCCCTCTCACGCTGAAGAAGTGAGTCCTCAGCCCTCTCACGCGGAAGAAGTGAGTCCTCAGCCCTCTCACGCGGAAGAAGTGAGTCCTCAGCCCTCTCACGCTGAAGAAGTGAGTCCTCAGCCCTCTCACGCTGAAGAAGTGAGTCCTCAGCCCTCTCACGCTGAAGAAGTGAGTCCTCAGCCCTCTCACGCTGAAGAAGTGAGTCCTCAGCCCTCTCACGCTGAAGAAGTGAGTCCTCAGCCCTCTCACGCTGAAGAAGTGAGTCCTCAGCCCTCTCACGCTGAAGAAGTGAGTCCTCAGCCCTCTCACGCTGAAGAAGTGAGTCCTCAGCCCTCTCACGCTGAAGAAGTGAGTCCTCTGAGTCCTCAGCCCTCTCACGCTGAAGAAGTGAGTCCTCAGCCCTCTCACGCTGAAGAAGTGAGTCCTCAGCCCTCTCACGCTGAAGAAGTGAGTCCTCAGCCCTCTCACGCTGAAGAAGTGAGTCCTCAGCCCTCTCACGCTGAAGAAGTGAGTCCTCAGCCCTCTCACGCTGAAGAAGTGAGTCCTCACCACTCTCACGCTGAAGAAGTGAGTCCTCAGCCCTCTCACGCTGAAGAAGTGAGTCCTCAGCACTCTCACGCTGAAGAAGTGAGTCCTCAGCCCTCTCACGCTGAAGAAGTGAGTCCTCACCACTCTCACGCTGAAGAAGTGAGTCCTCAGCCCTCTCACGCTGAAGAAGTGAGTCCTCAGCACTCTCACGCTGAAGAAGTGAGTCCTCAGCACTCTCACGCTGAAGAAGTGAGTCCTCAGCACTCTCACGCTGAAGAAGTGAGTCTTCACACCCAACCGGACCTCCAGGTTACAACCTTCTCTCGTTGCGACAAAACACGGCCCCTGTATTTACAGTTCCTCACTCTGCGTAATAACATACATTAAGCTGTGAGTCTATTGTCTCACACGGAAGCTAAGTGGTTAGTTCTGGTCAATATCTTGTGACTCGCTCTGACCCCTCACTCCATGGACAAGATGTTCTTTATAAACCACCTATCTCTCTCTCTCTCTCTCTCTCTCTCTCTCTCTCTCTCTCTCTCTCTCTCTCTCTCTCTCTCTCTCTTTATGCAATACCTGGCTCATGGCTCACATACCTGGCTCTCATGGCTCACATACCTGGCTCTCATGGCTCACATACCTGGCTCTCATGGCTCACATACCTGGCTCATGGCTCACATACCTGGCTCTCATGGCTCACATACCTGGCTCTCATGGTTTAGATACCTGGCTCTCATGGCTCACATACCTGGCTCTCATGGCTCACATACCTGGCTCATGGCTCACATACCTGGCTCTAATGGTTTAGATACCTGGCTCATGGTTCACATACCTAGCTCATGGCTCACATACCTGGCTCATGGCTCACATACCTGGCTCATGGCTCAGATACCTTCCCTCGTGCGAAAGAAGTGGATCAATAACTGCAAGAGCCGAGATTAACCAGCTCCAGCGTCTAGGACTCTGAAGGAAACTATGATAACAAAAGGGTGAATCCCAGGCTCGATGTGAACCAAAAATAACTACATGTTTTCCCCTCCATGCAAGAACTCCTGGCAAGGAATGAAGGAGAGTTGCTATGCAGTGTTGCAGGTAGCGACAAGCAATATCTCGCTGGGTTGGCCGCCTCAACATTGAATTCCAACAGAAGCAGTTGACTGAATTTTGAGTCTGAAATCGAGCAAAGTTCCCAAACTCTTCAGGCAGTGCTGTCAAAGTTTAAGTTCCGTTTGCTACAACTTACCTGCATGAAATTGAATTTTATGAATAAATTGAAACACTATGAAAGTACCAGTATGTCGTGATGGACCACCAGAAAGTCGACGTTTGAATTACTGAATTTAGACAAATCGGAAACTATTTTTTGTTATTTAAGAGCTAATCTAACTTCTACCAATCCTAGGCCTAATGCACGCTATCTCTGGCCTAATATGGTACATATATGTGCTATTTTAGGCCTAGGAATATTTAGGTTTCGTTTTTGCTTTATTTTCTTCCGGGCTCTAGAAATAATAGTAAAATAAATCATTTACATTTGTACTTTCGACCCAATAGTTACAAAAAGTATCATTACAAGAGGATGGGGCATTATCATGTCCCACCCAGATTACCTTCAAACATCTGCAATGTATTTGAGAAGGAATAGACTCACGCCTCTAATTTTGTCGCTCTAAATATGCTTCTCAGGGGCTGCATCTGTCACGTTAATGGTGAGTGGTACCGTTAACGGTGGGTGGTACCATTAACGGTGGGTGGTACTGTTAATGGTGGGTGGTGCCATTAACGGTGGGTGGTACCATTAACAATGGGTGGTACCATTAACGATGGGTGGCATCAGAACTGCCAAACCTAAATATTCGTTAGCTGTTCCTTATTTCTTGCTAATTGATGCTAAGTCCTCACTTGTGCTAAACAAGCTATTTAGCCTCCCGCACAACGAATCCACAGCTCCAAAAACGTGTGTTCTAGGCGGGAAGAGGCGCCCAGCCCGGCGCCCAGCCCCGGGTACAAGCAGGAAAAGATGTATTAGCAGCACCCATCTCGGTATTCAGAGTCCAATTTCACCCTCGAGCGGGTCCGCCGCTGTACATCCCACCCAATTTTGTTCTCTCTGTGCCCCCGGTGAGGGTCCTGCTCCCTCACCTTCCCTCACCCGCCCTCTGATGAGACACTCCACGTTCAAGGTTCCCTTTCTCATTGTTATCGATGATTGCTCCAGATTAATTATTATTTACGACTGTTATCTGGATAGCAATTAAGACTTCCTTCCATCATGCTGAATACGGCCTCTCTGACTGACTGACTGACTGCAATTGTCATATACATATTAGGGCTCAATCAGAGGGACCTGAAAATAGTTTAACGAGGCTTTTCCAGTAGTCTTTAGCAAGTAGTTCGCCTGGGATAGTGTCGTTCTCTTGTATGTGACTGTCTCTCCCTATTATAGTTACCTGGGGCCAGATTCACGAAAGCACTTACGCAAGCACTTACGAACGTGTACATCTTTCCTCAATCTTTGACGGCCTTGATTACATTTATTAAACAGTTTACAAGCATGAAAACTTCCCAATCAACTGTTGTTATTGTTATAAACAGCCTCCTGGTGCTTCGGAGCTCATTAACCGTTTAATAATTGTCAACAAGGCCGCCAAAGATTGAGAAAAGATGTACAGGTTCGTAAGTGCTTTCGTGAATCTGGCCCCTGGATGATATGTGCGACTCATCGTGATTGGTCTGTTGGGACCAATACCACAACACGACACTGGGGCGTATAACATGTCTTACATAACGTCATGTCACCAGCTGACACCTACACTCCTTGACGTTGCCTTGAGATGATTCGAGGTCCAGTCCTCGACCAGGCCTCCTCGTTGCTGGACTGGTCAACCAGGCTGTTGGACGCGGCTGCTCGCAGCCTGACGTATGAATCACAACCTTGTTGATCAGGTATCCTTTGGAAGTACTTATCAAGTTCTCTCTTGAACACTGTGGGGGGTCGGTCAGTTATGCCCCTTATGTGCAGTGGAAGCGTGTTGAACAGTCTCGAGACTCTGATGTTGATAGTTCTCTCTCACAGTACCTATTCTCTTGGCTATTCGCCAAGCCAAGTCAATATTCAATTCTTCGCTATTCCCTACCTATTCTATTCTCTGCTCTTCAACAGGGGCCAGTTAGATCCAGTCGCACAGTTATGACGTTGACAGTCAGGAGTTAATGTTCTCCAGTTTATCAGTATCTCTCGCTCTTTCCCTGCTACTACTGATAGTGAATACTCTAAAAAATCTTTGTTTACAAGTTAAAAAGTTTAAGTTAGCGCGAGGGTGAGACGATGTGACCAGAGTACGTCACCCGTGTCCTTCCTGATAGTCGGGGTCAGTGGTGCTCAACCCACACCTCTCCCCGCCCGCACACCCACACCATTCCCCACCCTCGAAGCCCAACTATTGCCCATCCTGCCCACTGTCATAGCCCGAGCATTCAACCCGGCCCACCCCAAGAGCCCCACCATTCCCCACCACTCTCCACCCTGTCAACTAACTCAACCCTCACAGTGAGAGAAGAGATTTCAGAAAAGGGATATGTTATCAGTAGTGGTGTGGCGGAGTGTGGTGTAAAGGTGTGTGTGTGTTGGGGTGTGGCGGAGTGTGGAGTAAAGGTGTATGTGTTGGGGTGTGGTTGAGTGTAGCTAGAGTTTGTGACGATGGCTGCATGTCATGTGCTCCGTATTAAAACTGTTTTTTTTATTGAAATGGACAAAAAATGGTTTACACATTTCCAAGTCAGTGCAATTTTCACGCTGGGCCATAATTCACGTACAGATACAATGTTTTTTATTATATACATAAAACATGACCTTCATTCATGGGTTGACTATGGTGGTGGTACTGGTGGTCCCTGTCAGTGGTGTATTGACGAGTATTATACCTGGAAGGTGTGAGAGCACACACTTGCCCTGGGCTCACCAGGTAACCTTAACAAACGTAAAGAGTTACTCACTCGGGACTGGTGGGAGCACACCAAGACCAGCCTCGGGGTTGAGAAGGCTGCTCCAGACTCCTGCCTGAAATAAAGGAGTAAAGTTACACACATACTTTAAGGGCTCTCACAATGACGACACAAGAAATATGGATGGGAGAGGTTAAGATCACAGCGTACAAGATACCGACGGGGAGAAGCCATGTGGAGAGAGATGGTCTATACCACCAAGAGAGCGAAAGGGAACAAGTGAATATTGGAAACATAATTATTTCTTGGTTTATAATGTTAACAATGATACATAATGGCTCACATAGCCAGGTGAGGGGAACACCTTGGTTAGAGTGGAGGGGTGTGACAGACACATGGCGCTGATGTAGCAAGACAAACTTATGGACCAGGACATCAAGGAAGAAGTTTGGAGTTTGGAGCCGCCTCTGTTGTCAGCCCGGTGTAAGAGGCCAGACAACTCAAAAGGGACCTGGAGTAGAGGGGGCAACATAAGAGAAGCGTGCCCTGCTGGAATGTTTAAACAATAGGTTAATACAGTATACGAATGAATTAGGTTGGGTATAAACAGAGAACTGCCTCGAAGGGGTCATCATTCTTTGTGCAATTTCCCGTCTTCTTCCTCTTAAGATATCGAGCGCCAGGTTTTCCTAACCACAGTTGTTGTGCGTCCCGGTATACAATCACTCTTGGTAGCCTGGGGTTACCCGCCAACACCTCCCTCACCCCGTACACGATACCAACCCGGGTCCTCTCGTGTGTGAGGCGAGTGTGTGCTAACCTCAACACCACCCTGCAGTATCTTGCGGTTACCTTACCTTGATTTCAGGGCTCAACGTTCCCACGGCCCGGTCCTCGACCAGGCCTCCTGGTTGATGGACTGGTCAAGCAGGCTGTTGGACGCGGCTGATCGCAGCCTGACGTATGAGTCACAGCTTAGTTGATCAGTTATCCTTTGAAGGTGTTTATTAATTAACTTCTCTCTTAAACACTGAGGAGGAGGGGGGGGGCCAGCGGTCCATAACTGGCCCATAAAATTGTAAAAAATTGTCTGAACAATATAAGATATGTATCACAGGTTATGAACTTATTATTAAATTATTAACTATCATTATTTTTCTCTTATTATCTCCCAAATAATAAACTAAAATGATAATATAATAAAATAATACGAGAAAGGAAGAAGGTATGTCAGTCCGTCTTCTAGATTTGTTACAACGGACAGAAAATGATGTACTAAATTGCTTGAATCTATACTAATCGAATCGGACTTATCGGAACCGACGACTCTCACAGGAAATGTGAAGTTTTGTGAGCCGCTGAGATTTATAGATTACATTTTGTCTGTTGGAGATTTTGACGTCAAAATACAATGTATTAATCGAGCGGACAGGTTGAGGTAT